CCCCCCCACCCTGTAATCACTATACTTGAGAGTCCCACTATTTCAAGAGCTCGTGGGGTATTTCTGCTCTATCTGCTCTATTTTTACTCTATTTGCCCCCTAAAGAAGCATCTAACAGTAACATCTAGACTGCACTGGTCTATCACAAATATATACAAATTTCTATCTGAGAGGAATATATTTTAAGTATACAACCTTCACATATCTACTTTATTATTTTTTTCCCTAAGAATTCTAACCTTCTGAAGGTCTAAAAAAGTATCTGGGGACAACTAAAAACACATGGCAATGGAAGTCTGAATTTCAGATATTTTCATATTTTTTTCACAGATTAATAAATGTTCTCCTAAAGTGGTGAACTTTCTTGAGCCCTGTCCCCTTCTCTCCACCAGGCTCTTTTTCCTTCCTTAAGTGAAATCTATCCCAAAAGCAGATATCCATTCATGAAAGTCACTACTAATGGGTCTCAAACCTCTGATAATAAATTATGAGCAGATCACCACAGGCTCTATACGGATCAAAATATACTAAGACCACCTGCTGTTAATGCATTAGAGAAGAAATACTGGGTTTTGTGAATAAATAAGTTGGAAACTCATTTTTATATCCCTAGTTACACAAGGCTGTCATCTGCTTCTACAGAAGCTTCAAAGAAATGCAACATGGGAATCCGTAACTGATGCAATGGCCACCTTTGTAAATAAGATTCTTCTGCTCTGCAATCTTTAGTGCTACCTACTATGGTATCTTCACTCAGGATTCTAGAAACAAAGTCATTTTCCCAAAGTTGACATATGATGTGTCTTTCTCCCCTATCAACTCCCTCTTTTTAAAAAACAGAATATATTTCTTATTCAATCAGTTTAAAACAACTAGTGAAAGAAAAGCTCACAGTAATTAAGGCAAATGAACTCTGGGATCTGCTGAATTTCCCACATTTTTTCCTCAAGTATTCACATATCCTATTAATACTGTCCAAATAACATAACCACCAAAAATTACCACTTGAAGAAAGACTTAGGGAGCAATAACTCAAACTCACAATCTAAAACAGCTCTTAAAGCAAGAATTCAAAAGCCTGTTGATGTGTTAACTGATAATAAACAAGAGAGGTGTTCATCTCTTGTCTCTGAACAAGTAACTTTATTCAGATGGGCTGGTTCTAATGTTACCTAAAGAAGGCTTGGTGTGGAAAAGGTTAGAGATGTGGTTCAAAATTATTTGTGATTTTTCCAACTGAAAAGTAACCCCTGAAGAGATAAAAAGCCATGGCACAGAATCAAGTTCTTTCTGTAAACAACCTAAATGTCCAGCAATAGGTGAATGGATAAAGAAGATGTGGTACATATATATAATGGAACATTATGCAGCCACAAAAAAAGAAGAAATCTACAACATGGATGGACCTAGAGAATACTATGCTAAGTGAAATAAGTCAAGCGAAGAAAGACAAATACCATATGATTTCACTTTTTGGGGAATAAACAAAACAAAATGAACAAAAGAGCAGTAGACTCACAGGCACTGAGAGGTGGCTGGTGGTTACCACGGGGGAGGGGTTGGGATGGGTGGGTTAACTCAGTCCAGAGAAATAAGGGATGTTTGTTGACGGAAGTGGAAAAAGAGACCAGGGGCATAAGAAAGTGACTAAAAAGGGAAAAGTTCAACTTTGAACACCAGGGCTTATAGAACTATAGGCACGCTCTCTGTGAAATAAAGCAGATAGACTCCAAAAAACTAGAGGAGTCATTTTAAGATAGACATGGGAGGAATTAACAGAGAAGCTTGTTCAGGGAATGCTGATATTCTGCTAATTTGAGATGTCCCAAGGATTGTTTTTTGATTTTACCAAGAGAGAAATAACTGTTCCCTCTTACAGAAATGTAAAATAAAAAAGAATCACCTCAGTCTCAGGAAAAGGACCCGATCCAGTAAATTTAGGGCTCTCGAGTGGAAAGAGAAAACCTGTCAGATCCTTGATTATGGAAATCTGGGTACAGCTCTGATGAGTAATGGGTATGCTGTTTAAAAGGGAGCCAGGTACAAGGAGCTGTCACAGGAAGCATTTGCCTTGCTTCTAGGCAGACAGAATCAATCTGAAAATCCCCAGCTAAAAAAAAAGGAATTCCTCTGTCACCATACTAGTGGAATGCTAGGTTATGTGTTTTATGAGTCCATGGAGACCAAAAAGACTTTTTAAATACTCCAGAATGGGAGATTGCAATTAATTAAAATAGCTATCAAAACCCACAAACCACTCCAGCCTACATTATCTCAAGAGAAACTATCTCCATTATATATTTAAAAGACAGGAATTGCGGTATTGGAAACATTGCTTTGTTTGTTTATATATGATGCTACAGAACCACAGAGAAGGTATACATTATTTTCATCCAAGAGGAGTAAAATTTGCTGCTTTTCCCAGGACCACTCTTTTTGCCCAGTTCTGCTTGCAGTCAATTATATTTTTTTGTAATTATATGGTAACTGCAGCTTCATTAGTATCAAACTCTTAGAGTAAAAATTACCAGTAACTTAAATATACTCTATGTATCAGCCATCACATTGTCCTTTCCAATCTAACTTTTGTCCTCTCCACACTGCCTCCATTCTTCCCACAATATGATTTCTTCATTAAATTACCATACATTCCATTTGGCTATAAATGTTGATATAAATTATAATTAACCTCACTAGATACCAATGGAATTATTTTCCCCAAATCTCAATAAAAGTAGAAGGAAAATGATACCAAATTTAATATAAATATGCAGAGTTGTCCCAGAAAGATATTTTCATATAAGGTGACAAAATACATTTAAGTCTAGGATAATATTCAACTTGTACAGTGGTCATCTACTATATTTTTACATGAATTCTTAAGGCTTAAATAATTTTTAAGGTTCTTTAATCAAAGAAGAAAGTTACTTACTCCAGAAGAATATTATTCATATCCTGTGTAAAGAATTTTTTCCTTCCTTCTTCATCAAAAAGTTTGGCAGCCTAGAGAAATGTAGGATTGTCAAGTTAACTCTCAATAAATACACTGTGTCCATATAAGAAAAAACTCCTTGAGGGTGGGTCTGTGGTTTACTTCACCTTGTATTCTCTATATATAACCAGTTTAGCACCGGGCATGAGTAGGCAATTAAAGAGTGCTGAAGCAAATTTAGCACACATACCATTCTTTCCCTTATGTCCATATTTAATTTTTCTCAATCTTCCTAAATTCACAAAATTATACATACAAGATTCTTTACTGGTCTGGGTGTCTTGTTTAGCAATTCTAGATGTGATTTTCAAGATACCAGAAAGCAGATGCCTTACCTTTTTCAGACATTATTGTGACAATGTGAATGATATTCTGTATCTTATACTCAATACCATATTTAATCCTGAAAACAGTCAATGATATTTGTACTACAGCCCGCATTTTATAAACAGGAAACCTAAATCTTACAAAGGTTATGTGATATGCCCCAAAATCACACACTAATAACTGATGGATTCAGGACGAGACCAGAAGCTTTCTTACTTAAACTGTGTAACACTGCCACACTGCAGCCAGTCTGCGTCTGGATTCTACTAATCACTAGCAATGAAAAAATTAGCCAAGTTTATTACCATGAGATAAGTAAAAATTAATTCAATGAGCTAAGGATAACAATTCTATTATTATGTTTGCCATCTTAACCAGATGACCAAAAACAAAGAGTATATAAACTAAGACACTCTACCATAAGCAAAATTTACTAGGGAAATCACAAAAAATAGTAGTTTATCTTGAGAATCATGAGATACAAAACACTGAAAGGCCTGATCCAATAATTTGAGCAAGACATATGCTGAGAGAATCTACCAAGTTATTTGACAATTTTACTTGCTGTAAATAGAGGAGGAAAACCTCCAAGGTGTGCGCAGCACTCAGAAACGATGAAGACAGGGTACATGTAGGAAACGCAGGAAGAAAGCCAGAATGAAAACTAAACTTAAGAAAAGAGAATCCAAAGAAGTCAAGAAGTTGAACAGTGGAAGAACGTTATGAAGTGAGAAAAGACCAAAAAAAAAGAAGCTCCTTATCAGACAGGCATGAGCCAAGAATGAATTCTCATCTCCTGAAGAAAAAACATCACCTCCTACTTCAAAGAACATATATGGAGAATTCATAGACATCGGTAAGTGAAATGAATCTTCTTAAAATTTCCTACTAAGGGATTAGAAAGCAGGTAAATTAACCCTGGCATAGCTACTAGAAAGAGAGATGATAGCTTTTGTATATGAGATATGACAGAGTTTTGCAGGACTGAAACATACTCACTACTAACCAGTTTTGTTTACTCAACGAGAATGAATGGCATATACCACAGGAGACCCAGTGAAAGCTGCTATGGAACTCAATGGTCCTGCTTTTAAATCCTGCCTTTGAATCATAGCTCTGCTACTGAAAAATTATGTGGCCTTGGGTGAATCACTTAGCCTTTTGAACCTTAGTTTCCTCATCTATTAAATGGAAGAATACACCCACCTCACAGGATTATTGGTGGATTAGATTACACAGTATCTAAACTGTCGCTGTTACTATGACTGGTATACTAAACCCAGCCAGGGCACTGTCTCCTGAATGGTAAACAGTGCCTTGTGCAGTGGGGACACAGCAGCACCACATTCAATATATATGCTTTTTGTAAGTTAGCTCTTGTACTTAAATTCTGTCTCCAACACTTACTAGGTGTGTGGACTTAACTAGGCTTCACTTAAGTTTCTTAACCATAAAAAGGAAACAATACCTACACTTCATAGAGTGGTTGAGAAAAATTTTTTAAAAAGGTGCAGTGGGGAACAATGATACAGAATATAAAAGAAAATGACAAAAATCAGTTACATTATCATGAAAACTCTAAGATAAAATATTTGTTAAAAGGAAGAAGATCAAACGAGGAAAACAAACAAATTTTCATTTTTCTGCTGTCTATAAGAGAAAGAGCCAAAATAAAGGAACTCAAAAAGTCTGAAGGTAAATGACGGAAAAGCTACACCATGAAAAAAATAAAGAGAAAGAGAAATTCAAGATGAAAAAGCATTGACAGCATAAAACGGTCACCTTCAAATAATCATCACAATGAAGATCTAGCCATCAAGAATCTTACGAGCCAAACAACACAGGCTAGAAGTAAAAAGGAAAAACTGTGGTAAACACAAGTTACAACTTAGGAAACACTGCCAATGAGATACTTTTACACACTTCCTCTAAGTCCTAGACTATTGAAATATATTAAAATAAGTAAAAATACAAGAGAACTAATTAATAAGTCACAACCTCAGAAGAAATGCTACAGAACAAAAAATAGAAAAAAGAACATAACTGCTGAATAAAATCGATGGGCCAGTTAGTGAAAAAATTAGATAAATCTCATACTTGCCTAACCAGGTATTTAAAATTTAAAGAGTTAAGAGAGCTACAACATAGAGATGATTAACTTTAAAATGTGATTTAAATGAATTACTCTAATCCTAGAAGAAGCAAGTTATGTAAATCCTACATTACAATCCTACTAACAATTACTTTAATAATATAAAATTTGCAAATGCATGGATTAAAATCCAGAAAAATGAATAGTTTAATAGTGGTCATCTCTTCTGGGGGTGGGGGATGTCAGATTATGGGGGATATTTCCCTAAGTATGAAATACGTTTTGTACTGTGTGATTTACTTTTGTAATCAGGGAAAAAAACACTAAAATATAGCATGGGTTCAGATAAACATGGTAAAATCATAAAAAAAACAAAACAAAACATTTTAAGCTGGGTTTGACACATTTTAAGTCAAAATAGTATCTCCCTGAGATTAAATGGAAAAGTGTGATGGATGACATTTATCTGGATTTGCAGCTAGTTAAACAAATGAAGATTAAGAATCCAAGTTACCCACACATATGTGGTCAATTAATATACGATAAAGGAGCCATGAATATACAATGGAGAAAAGACAGCCTCTTCAAAAACTGGTACTGGGAAACTAGACAACTACATGTAAGACAATGAAACTGGATTATTGTCTAAATCCATACATAAAAGTAAACTCAAAATGGATCAAAGACCTGAATGTAAGTCATGAAACCACAAAACTCTTATAAGAAAACATAGGCAAAAATCTCTTGAATATAAACAATGAGCAACTTTTTCCTGAAGACATCTCCTCGGGCAAAGGAAATAAAATATAAAATGAACAAGTAGGACTACGTCAAACTAAAAAGCTTCTGTACAGCAAAAGACACCATCAGCAAAACAAAGAAACATCCTACAGTATGGGAGAATATATTCATAAATGACATAACTAATAAAGGGGTTAACATCCAAAATATATAAAGAACTCACACAACTCAACACTTAAAAAACAAATAACCTGATTAAAAAATGGGTGGAGAATATGAACAGACACTTCTCCAAAGAAATATGGATGGCCAACAGGCACATAGAAAGATGCTCTACATCGCTAATCATCAGGGAAATGCAAATTAAAATTACAATGAAATACCACCTCACACCAGTTAGGATGGCCAACATTGAAAAGACAAGAAACAACAATTGCTGGTGAGGATGTGGAGAAAGGGTAACCCTCCTACCCTGTTGGTGAGAATGTAAATTGGCTTAACCGCCGTGGAAAGCAGTATGAAGATTCCTCAAAAAACTAAAAATAGAAATACCATTTGACCCAGTAATTCCACCTGTAGGAATTTACCCAAAGAAAACAAGATCCTTGATTTGAAAGACATATGCACCCCTATGTTTATCACTGCACTATTTACAATAACCAAGATGAATGTATAAAAATGTAGTATACATACACAATGGACTATTATTCAACCATAAAAAGAAAAGAAATCCTACCCTTTGCAACAACATGGATGGAGCTAGAAGGTTTTATGCTCAGTGAAATAAGCCAGGTGGAGAAAGACATATACCAAATGACTTCACTCATTTGTAGAGTATAAAAACAAAGTAAAACTAAAGGAACAAAATAGCAGCAAACTCACAGACTCTGAGAAGGGACTAGTGGTTACCAAAGGAGAGGGGCTGGGGAGGATTGGTAGAGAGGAAGAAGGGGATTAAGGGGTACTATAATCAGCACTCACAGTATAGGTAGGTCACGGGAAAGGCAGTTCAGTACAGAGAAAACAAGTAATGATTTTACAGTATCTTACTGCGCTGATAGACAGTGACCGCAATAGAGGAGGTGAGGACTTGATAATATGAGTGAATGCTGAATCCACAGTGTTGTTTATGTGAAACCACTGAAAGATTGTGTATCTATGATACTTCAATAAAAATAAAAAAACCCAAGCTGATCTTGAGAGGATCTGTGATATGCTAAAAGCTCAACTCTTAAGGTATGTCCTAGTAGGAACACAATGTATGCTTACTAAAGCTGCTGATTAGCTGGAAAGGATCAGTTAGTAAAATGGGTTATAGAATAACTAGATGTCAATAGTTTGGACCAAGTTTAGGTACATTTCTGCAATTTACTGTTCCTATCTTCCCTCTATTTTCTATACATGAATGTGTAAACCAATAAAAATTATATTTATAAAAACCTATGCAAAAAAATATATATAAGGTGAAGTGAAATAATAAAGTGATCAACTATAACCACGTTTATAACTGAAGTTTAAAAGTATATGTCTATGCATATAGCCAATGCCTAATAGGAAATCTAGAAAACTAAAAATTACATAGTTGATGAGATGTGGGTTAATATTTTTGTCTTTAAAAAAAAGGATTTATTGTTGTATTGGTGCAGCAAATAAGAAACAAGAGCATTATTTTACTTACTGCACGGAGGTCTTCGATACGCTTTTGAAGAAGGACAGGCAGACCTTCTGGGAGTGTAGGTACCACCCTGGGCATAATCGGAGCAGCACAGGTTGGCTGGGTGATGTTTCCATTCTCTCCCCCTGACTCAGAGAGGGGGCTGCCATCAGAAGCAGCATCCAGTAATCTGTCAAAGTCAAAATCATCTAGCATCTCTAGGGCATTTTCAGCTTCCTGAAACAGTTCATGCTCATTTGTGCTAACAAAAATGGGGAGGTCTGGGTCAGCATTGTTCAGATTTAAGTCCGAAACATCATTTCCCAATGCCACAGCAGCGGAGGGGGGTTTATTCAGAGAGGAGGGCGTGAAGTTCGCTGGGACTTTGGGGTTAAGCTCCTTCTTTAGCGCATCTTTTTCTTTCTGAAATTTTCGTATCATGGCAGCTAGAGAAAGAGAATCTTTATAACGTTTCTTCTTTTTTTCAGACTTGTGTGAATTTAGAGCCACAACTCTGTGAAGAAAAAAGTGATCAGTGAGGCCACGTACAATTTCAAAGGTTACAGTGCGGTGTCAATGAGCAAGCAGAGATCAAAATAATCACTTGACAGGTGGGAGAGCAAATTTCTCATTAAATTTTGCAATAGCATCTTCATCATTATCTGGACTGTCCCCTATGAAAGGCAGACAGGTAAATGGCCATGACAGTGAAGAAAATGCAAGGAATGAAGTCAACAGGAAGAAACAAAACTGAATGTACCTTAGGTTTATTAAAGTACACTAAGTTAAACTTACCATTCTTTTTGGAACATTCACATTCTCTAACACATCTATTAAGTAGTCAAAGAAGTGACCAGATAAAGAAATGCATTTTTGCTGAGAACAGAGTTGCCTTATAACCAGAGAAGGCCACATATGTCCACCTTCAAACTGGTACTGCAGGTGGTTTGTGCTAAAGACTGCCAAAGAAATACCAGACCTCTGTATCTACCTGTGAGCCCTATCCATCCCCATGTCCTGTATCTAGATCCTATTCTATTTGCTATGATCTTCTGATCGTTTTGTACTTTCCATTCTAGGATCAGCTATGTGATGCAATCAGATAGACATGTGTAATTCTCAATGACAACTTTCTCATTTCAGGAACTACATAAAAAGGTGGTCTCAGTTTATCACTTTCTCTTAAGAAATCTTTTCTAAATTCTGGGCTTAGATGTTTCCATGTGCATTACAGAATCTGAAAGATTACTAGTACCTTAAAGGCAGGACCATGTTTCATTTAAGTTATATACCCCAAAACCAGAACAGTGCTTGGTATATAATGGGTACATAAAAGGTATTACTGAATAGTTTTTTTCCTAAAAAAAATTTACTTGTAAATAATGAGCACTTAAAACAACTGTTAGTAAAATAATGTTTTTCCTTAATTTCTTAATAACTCAAGGGTCATTATAATCTCATACTCAGGAGAGGATAAATATCTCCCTAAATCAACCTTTTGGATATTGGTAGCCTAAAATTCAGATGCAATCCTGTGGTAAGGAGGTGGGTAAAATCTAGACTCTCACAGATTCTCTCCCTTAGTTCTGCACAAAGAGCCATAGAGAAGCAGAGGCAAATGGTAATTTTATGACTGCCATGTACAAACATTTTATTCTGATGACTTAAGGCTCTCAAGGAATTCGACTTGGTTTTTAGACTCAATATTACTACCTGAAGTCACAAGTGTTAAGAATGGCTAAATAAAATGGATTATTTTATATTAAAAAAACCACAAATCATTTACACGTAGACTATTGACAATCCTCAATCCCCAGGCATCTGAGCTTAGTTTTAGCACAAAAATATTAAAACAATTTGTTCAATTTTTAAGCCATCTCTTCAAACCGGTTCTTATTGGTAAAATGTTGTAATGAGTAAAATACTTAATATGTTTATAAATCAGATCTAAAACACAATGAAGTCTCTAAGATGACTCTAAGGCAATCAGATAGACAGTCCCTAAGGCTCTAAGATGAAGTCTCTAAGATAACAAAGCCTTCTGCTTATTAATAGATATAATATTATCAAAATATAAATTAATAGGTCATTGATATTATATAAATAGTGTATGAAATTAAACCCAGCTAAGCTGAATTAATGCTAAATATATCTTCCTGAAAGGAGAGCTGGTCACGCTATGATACTACTCCCTTATCACGTTTAGTTTCGCGTACCCCAGTTGTTTAGGAACTTTTTTCCTTGGCTTCTTCTCTTTTTCCCCTTCCTCTTTCCTCTTCCGCTTCTTCATCTCAATATCAACTTCTTTTATTTTGGGAATCTGAAATATGAGAAAAGAATGTATAACTTATCTAAGTATCAGTGCTTTACTCTTTGATGTTACTAAGCCAGCGTCCAGGACAGTTTTTTTCTCAAATTTCAGCGTGCATTAGAACTGCTTGTTAAAAATGTAGATTCTTAGGGTCCATGAACATTCCCACTCCTGGTTTTGATCCTGTTATCTGGGGAGGGCCTTATAATCTGCATCTTAAACAGACAAATCTCAAACATTTTGACAATTCTAGTACAAGTAAGTCTTTGGATCACACATCAAGAAACACTTTTTTAAGGACCCTCTATCCATTTCTGAAATACATATGTTCTATAGAATTTTTTTTACAAATCATATCTTAGGAAAGATAAATAGCTATTAATAGTCATTTCTATAGCAAGTCTTAATCTATCCTAGAAACTTAACCTATCCCCAAAATAAAGTATTAAACCACATATGGAGAAAGAAATTTTAAAAGAAAATATAATTCTACCATGATGTAAGGACTAATTTGCCTGTATCTATATTTTACTTTAAATCAAGTCAACTATAGATTCATTAAATAATGGTTAGCATTTTTTCCCTTACATTTATAGCTGTAAAGCACAAGTAAAATTCCACAAGTATACCCTATTAATTGAATGCCCTCAAGTTACTGTTACGATGCTGAACAAACTCACTTTGGGTGGCTTGTGCTTCTGGTGGTCTGTAATATCTTCTTCTTCAGTATCTGAAGCTTGGCGAAACTGTAGTGTGCCAGTGTTAATGTAAAAGCCTCCATATTTTGTTGTTAGAGAAGCAGGAACTAATTCGTCATACTAGATTTAAAAAAAAGGTTTCAGATATATCCCACTGTCATTAATTCTGTAAATATGTCAAAGAAATTCAATCACCACATGCATCTTCCTTAAATCCTAACTACAAAACTCCAAGGAGGATGTTCAGGGAATAAATTTAGAAAATTTTATTATTGAGAGTACAAATGAGCTTTGATTACTCAATATTCATTAAGAAAGTAACTTCTGGAATAACAAAGCAAATTATAAATATATCATCTGCTGAGAAAAATTTAAAGATCACTGCTACTATTCTTAATGACAAATGATTCTGGGGAGAAATTAAAACATATGACTAAACATTCAGACAAGGAATAAATTTCATTAACTTCCGTATTAGTATATAATTTTATTAATAAATAGATTATAACAAAGTTATTTCTTCTGCTTTACCTCTAAATCTTTTAAACAGGGAAAATTTAAAAACATTTAAAAGAAAAACAGCATATACATGCTTTAAAAGGAAGCAGAGAAATAACTGCCCAGTTCAATAAGCATACACTGAGGGCCTATATTGAGCCAGGCACTCTGTTTGAAGCAAGAGACTCAAAATTGTCTGAAACAGACTGGAGGTCTGACCTAAAATATCACTAAAGCTGAGGTTCCCCTCAGCCTGGATTTTAAAGTTTATCAGTATCTCGCCTGATGAAGATGAACAAAAAGCAAATATTAAATGAAGGTCAACTTTAACCCAAGTGATTGTTCACAATGGAGGAGAAAAAAGGAACTACTTATCTAATAGAAGCAAGATACCTGCTACCTGGGAAGCCAGAATGCTACTTACAGATTCTTCATATGATATAATTAAGCTTTAAGAAAAGTCATATTTGTAAGGAGACTTCTTTGTCATGGGCAACGAATATACACAAGGTACTGGTTATCAATCATAACAATATTAAGGCTCAGTACAAAAGTTGTGATTTTAACCTGTTATCTTTTTAAATTATAAGGAGAACGGATAAAGAATGCTCAGGTTAATCATATGGAATCAAAAGAAATGAAGTGAGGAAAAAGAAGGAAAAAAGGAATGCACCCTTTCTTTGCTGCTGCACTATTGGGATGCCCTGAAGATCTACAGAGGACACCTTCAGAAAGGGCCCAGTACTACATGCCAGTAAAGGTGTGATGTGAAAGCTAAAGCATTAAAAGTGAGAAGACTCTGCAGTAATTATTTTAAAAATGTATAATTGTGATAAATACACCTACAGTTTTTGCTTAGATGTACTTGTAAAATACTTTATAACTTTCAGTGCTTCTTTATGTAAATTATTTCTCTTGGTCTTCCTGATACCCTTGTGATGCAAGGAAGGCAAATATTCCCATTTTAAAGTGAAAACCAAGTCCAGAGAGGTTAAGATCCTTGCTAGAGTAATTTCATTAGTTTGTGATGCTGAGTCACTGACTGCCTCCCAACCCATCCCACTACACTAAGCAGCTTCTCACATGGGCAGCACTTTCATCACCAGCTCCCGGGGCACTGTGGATGTGCTCAATGCCTGTCTTCTGCACTGTTCACCGAGCTTGCCCTACAAGAACACCCCTCAGGGGAACAACTTTGCATATGTAATTTAGCCTGTTAAGTAGAATGTGTGACGAGGCAATGGAGCCCTGAACTTGGGAATCAGAAAGGCCTGGATTTAGCAATAAGTAGCTACTCTCACCCACAGCAAAATCACTGTGCCACAGTGCCTCAATCCTTGAGGGTTGTCAAGCAGAGACAGTATTACTTATTTCACAAAATTCCGGTGAAATATGAGAGAGACAACCTAAATAAAAGTGTTACTCATACCTGGTGTTATGAAAAAAAAAATCTGCTTTCAGACTTGTAAAAATTTGGCAGTGTGTCAGAATAAAAATCCTGAAAAGCATTTATTTTCAGGTATTTATAGGAGTAAGTAGTACATGATTCTAAAAATTAATTAGAGCCAGGTTATTATCCCTCTCTTTCAAATAGTATGCAAACAGTGAAAGCTTACTGGCAACACAATCAATGAAAAGAACAGAGAATAGTTTGGTTGGATC